CGGACCAGCCACCAAGCCATCCTGAACATTCCATAGACATTGATCCATTAAATGTACTTTGGTTATTTTTTTATAATTGAAATATTACTAATTTACTTGCTTGCTTAGAAGATAGTCTACCATCCCTGTTCCAGAAAAGGGAAGAGATGTAAGCAGGGTCCTCCTACATGAAAACAGGAGGCTACATCCTAGAATTAAGATTCTCCCCTCTTACAGAGAAGTGAGCCCAGGTGCTTGGATGCCCCCACTCTCTCTGAGTGAGATACTCATGCAAATGATTGATGCAATACTCAATAAAGGACCAGAAGTCAAAACTGAAATCTAGACATTAAGACTAAATATAGAAGGTGCCACCTAGTGGGCATGATGAAGACTGCAGCCCATTCCAAGTCAGGGAGGTGGGTGATGAGTGGGGGTGAGAGATCCTGTTGAAGTCAACCTCTGGCCTGAACACATACAAGAAACCAGAACAAAATCACCTCTTATTCAGGCTCCAATTCCCTACTGAGCAGCCATGTTTCCCTGTGGGTAACCATCTAGACGGGCGCACCTAGTGAGAACTTTCTAATAATGCTGAGAGTGGACTCAGCATGCTGCTGCCAGGAGTCAGGACCAGAAGCAAGGTTCTCAGAGCCACACCCCTGCATGTCTGACTCTGCTTAGTGCAAAGCCAGAGGCGGCAGGGAAGGGGACATCGTTGTTTAATGACCTGGGTTTTAAAACCCATTGATAAAGACTCGTCTATTTTATCAGCAACCTAGGACACAATGCAAAATGTTTTATCTTTGAACAATTTCTTCCTTTCCCCACCCCACCCACCCCCCCTTTTTTTTTCTTTTGGTCTTTTTTGAGACAGGGCCTCCTTGTAGCTCCAGCTCGCCTGAAACTCATTATATAGACCAGGCTGGCCTCAAATATACAGAGATTCACCTGCCTCTGCCTCCTAAGTGCTGGGATTAAAGGTGCACACCACCATACCTGACCTTCTTTTTTGGAGTTTTGAGACAGGGTTTCCCTGTAGCCCCAACTGGCCTGGAACTCGGGATGTAAACCAGGCTGACCTCAGTCTCACAGAGATCTATCTACCTGACTCTGCCTCTCAAGTACTGAGATTAAAGACATGGACCACCACACCCAGCATTTTTAAACTTCTAAAAATTGCAAACAAGAGCTGGAGAGATGGCTCAGCAGTTAAGAGCACTGGCTGGTCTTACAGAGGACCCAGGTTTGGTTCCCAACACCCACATGGCGGCTAAACATTCCTAACTCCAGTTCCAAGGGATCTGATGCCCTCTTCTGACCTCCTCAGGCATTGCACAACATGGGTGCACTTCCATACATGCAGGTAATACACTCAGTGTAACAGTTTCCAAAGAGAATGCACTCACTTGGAGCTCAGTTTTTCTGGCTGAAACACAAAACAACTACCTAACAGCCCTACGTGGTGCCTACTATTCTGATATCTCAGAGTAGATGAACTTTACCTGGTAGCATACCCCCTCACATACCCTGCCTCTAATGGTTTTTCATTTTATATACATCATTCCAGTCTTACACAATTTCATTCCAAATATTTTCTGGCATACATCATGTACCCATCTTCATGTTCACCTCAGAGATGAGCTTGGAGAGTCTCACCATGTTGTATCTGCTCACCAGGAGGAAAGCTTGATTAACACTGAACTGTAAGCACCTTCCAGTTATCTTGATGAGCTCACTCATGCTGACATGGTCAGGTGCTGAGAACTTGGTTTTATCCAAGATGGAGACACAAAAGTACAATTCTCATCTTGAAGGGGATAAGAGATTGTTTATTCTGGAGCCAAATGTGAGTGACCATGGCCTAGGAACACAGATTCAAATTACCCCCAAGTCCGTGTTGCAACATGGAGGCAGTTTTATGAAATTTGGGGGGGCGGATGTTTTTTATGTGTATGGGTGTATTGCCTGCCTGAATATAAGGGCACCCTGTTGTACAATGACCACGGAGGTCAGAAGAGGGCATCATATCGCCTGGAACTGGAGTTGTGGACAGTTGTTAGCCACCATGTGAGTGCTGGGGATCAAACCCGGATCTTCTGGAAAAGCAGCCAGTGCTCTGAACCACTGAGACATCTCTCCAAACATTCATGAAGTTTTTATAGTAACAGAAGAAAGGAAGTCATAAATCAAAGCACGTTTCAAATATATTGATAGAAATATTAAGTAGGTAGTTACAGCAAAAGAGAGAAATCCTAGCTCTAGGCCTCAGATGCTGAGGACACTCAGCCTTTCAGTTGTTGGAAACTAGGGTTTTGTTAAGTTATACATTCCAAAAGGTTTTTATCTGTTAGTCACAGGATGTTAGGTGAGACACAGAGGTGGGCAAGGAATGGCTATTTAGAGGACTAAAGACAGCCCAAAATACATTATAATTAGGTTCTGGACTTGCAACATTCCAAACTCTCCACAATCAATGAAATTCTAATCAGTTGATCAGTCTTGAAGAAGGTTCTGTTTGAAAATGCAAGGTTTTTTCTGGGAACTTTGATTCACTGGACAAGGTTGTTTCTCAAGCTAGTGCCATTCTATTATCACCGAAAGTGCAGTGTGCCTTGGCGGTCCTCCCTGATGATGATGTGCAGGGGCCCTAGGGGTAAATGGTAGCAACTTCCCTTGTGTCTCCTTTTTCTTTAGACAGCATCTCACAATGTAACCCAGAATCACTACTCCCAGGAGGGTAATAAGATCTTTTAAAGACAATATATCTTCCCCCAAACTGTCCTTTGCTCTTCAAAATGAAGCCCTTGAGCAAGCCCCTTGATGAGAGAAGAATTCTGAGAGGTCCTAAAAATTAAATCACAGGTCAGAAAATGGAAGGAGGAAAGAGAAAACAGAAGCTCATTTTAACTGACAGCATCAAGCTGAATCAAAAGTAAAAGGGGGCGAAGAATCAACCAAAATGAAGTATGCATGAAATAGCCATAAGGAAATCTGCTATTTTGTCTGCTGATTTAAAAGTCATTAATTAATTAAGGGACTGGAGAGATGGCTCAGCAGTTAAGAGCACTGACTGCAATTGCAGAGGACCCAAGCTCGATTCCCAGCACACATATGGTGGCTAACAACTGTCTGTCTGTAACTCCAGTTCTGGGGTATCTGATGCCCTGGAACACAGGTGCACTTACACATATGCAGGCAATACAATCATGCACATAAAAATAGGGGCTGGAGAGATGGCTCAGTGGTTAAGGGCACTAACTGCTCTCGGAGAGGATCCGGGTTCCATTCCCAGCACCCACATGGCGGCTACGAACCATCCTTAACTCCAGTTCCAGGAGAATTCGAAGCCCTCTTCTGACATCCGTGGCATTGCACAACATGGGTGCACTCACATACATGGAGGCAATACACTCATACACATAAAATAACAATAATAAATAAAACATTTTAAAATAAATAAATATTTTTTAATTAAGAAATTAATTAAAAGTTCAGGCAAGCCCATGTCCCAAGACCCCAACCTTACTCAGGCTCACCCAATCCCCAAACTTATTCCAAATTTTCAGCAACCCTAATCCTGAGTGCAGACACCATCCAATTCTTGTAGATCATCCAGGTCTCTTCACTATGCAGCAAGGCATAGAGAACTGGGGAGGCCAGCTTCCCGGACATTTCCAGACTGAGAGCCTGTTGAGATCAGGCTGTGCCCCACTCTGTGTTACTCTAAAAATGTTTTTTTTCAGGCTGTGAGTTGCCGTAGGAAGTTACATTTTAGAAGTAGTCTTTGACTCCATTTTGAAGGACAAGGATGACTACACTCCCTGGTAGACCCAGAAACTGCACCATCTGTCAGGGACCCCTCCCCCATCCAGCACAGACTGATAAATGACTTATTCCTAGGAATAGAGAGGGGGCCACCCTGTGAACTTATCAGGGTGAATTTAAACTGTGGGGGCACATGGACATATTAAAAAATCATGTCAGGAAATGAGGCTCAAGAACTTACCAGACTGAGGAAAAGGTGTAACTCCTTCACCTGGACCCCAGAAAGTGATGGACCCCCTAACACTGCGATGACACGGCCCCACACCAACCTATCGTCTGCTACCTGGTGTGTGTATCCAGGACTGACAGGCAGAGGACTCCCTACTGTCCCTGGAGCTTCAGTTCAACTTGGTCCTCTACTTAACTTGGCAAGCTACTTAACTGCCTACCTGTCTACCTTTCTTTCACCTGTCTGGATCTGGGCCTAACCCTGCTCTCAGATCCTAGTTCAACCTTTCCTTTCAAACCCTGATTCCAGCAGCTCCAGGAGCACCCCCTCCCGGCACCGCTCTGGTTTGTTATCTTAACAGTATAGACTTTGTCTCACCCACTTCTGGAAGCCTCTTTAGCTTATATTCATTCTGTAACCCATACTTTGCATTTAGACATATAGATACCTAGACGTATTTACTGCGTGCTATGTGCTGCATGCTATGAGAGTTAATATTAGTAATGAAGTCTGGAATAAAAATCTGCACTCACTTCATCCAGATATTCCCCAGGTAGACAGGGTTATATGGCAAATTGCTGCCATTGAAACCCCTGAATCTTGTGAAGTTACAGTTGTGCAATAAACTCTGGGACTATGGAAAAGATACGTGTTCCTCTGTTTCTGCAGTGGTGAGCTTGTAACAGAGCCTGTTGGGGAGACTTGGTGCTACCATCTGGCCATTGGTACAGCCCAGAAAAAGGAGATTGTATCCTCCTAAATTTCGGTTTCAGTTCTTAGATAAGCTTGCTTTCGGTTTCCAATCTGACAGCAAAGCCGGCTGCTCAGTTTAAAGCAGTGTAAGAGGGAGGAGGAGTGAAGCTGTCTGAAGTCATCCAGCCAGTCTCCTTCCTGGAAGCAGAGAAGTCCCTCCCAGCCCCACTCTGGATCCTTCCCCAACACTGATTATCTGGAGAAGGCTGGAAGCTTCCCCCAGTAAGAAGCATCCAGGATTTATTCCAAGGAGCAGGGAGGTCCTGTAGAAATGGAGCCTGCCCCTGACCTGTATGGGAACTCTGGGGACAGGTTGGATGCTTTCTTCACATGCCTTCAGCCCCAGGGGGACTGGAAGGAGGAAGGGCAGGATGCCTGGCAGAGAATCGAGAGATTCTTTCGAGAACAGTGCTTCCATGATGTTCTGGCTCTAAACCAAGAAGTCAAGGTGCTTAAGGTAGTAAAGGTGAGCATGTGGGGTCCTGGGTTCAAATCTCACCTCTGCCCCTTGGGATTCTGTGACTTGGGGGACAGGCCACTTCATCCCTTTGAGCCTGTCTCCTCTTTATCTGGGTTATTCATGAGCAATAAATGGGACAGACATGCAAAACTTATCTGTGTAATTAATTATTCTACAAAGCTGAAGGATGAAGGTGGTGGTGGTAGTGATGACAGTAATTTGGGATTCAGCTCTCTGAATGGAATATGGATGGCAGGTCTTTATAAAATTTATGTCTTCTGATTTTTTTTTTTTTTTTTTGGTTTTTTTGAGACAGGGTCTCCCTGCAGCCCCAGCTGGCCTGGAACTCACTATGTAGATCAGGCTGGCCTTGAATTCACAGAGATCCACCTGCCTCTGCCTCTTGAGTGCTGGGACAAAAGATGTGTGATTCTTTTTTAAATATTTTATTATTGATTGATTGATTCTTTTTTAAATATTTTATTGTTTTTATTTTACATGTCTGAGTGTATTGCCTGCCTATATGTAAGTGTACCTGTGTCATGTAACGCCCTTGCGGGTCAGAAGAGGGTGCTGGACTCCCCTGGAACTGGAGTTACAAATGGTTGTTAGCCACCATGTGGGTGCCAGGAATCAAACCCAGGACAACTACAAGAGCAACCAGTGCTCTTAACCGCTGAGCCTTCTCTCCAGCCCCCCATGTCTTTTGACTCTTGTTTGAGAAAGACTTGTTTACCTCCAAAGTCTAAGGAAACATGTATTGTTCTTCTAAACTAGTCCTGGTACCCATGTTAGAAACCACCCATCAAAAGAGTACTTGGTAAACTCAGTAGAATTTTAAGGGCTGACCATGTACTTCAGCATCTATTTATATAGCATTGTTTCTCCTGGGAAAGTACTAACTTAAAACATACCTCCAATCAAGATTGTTTGGATCATAATTCTAGATTTTGTTCATTTTGTCAGAGTGATAACATCTTACATTAATTTAAGCAAATCAAGCCTATCTGGGAATTCTAGGCAATGGCTGCAGAGGTCAGACTGGAGAGAAAGGATATTCAGCTTTGAAAAAAATCTAAAGAGCCAACACCAAAGATTAAAGACAGTTATCCAGAAACCTTGAACTCAAAACAGAAATTCAAGCTCCTGAAATTCCTTAAAAAGGCCCGACTCAACCTTTTTGTCTTCTGACCCCTCCAAACCTCTGGTTTTGCAGCTGTTCTGCTCTTCAGCTGTGTTGGCATTTTTGCTTCCAGGATCTGAAACCAACCACTCAACAAAGGAAATCCAGAGCTGGGCGTGGTGGCACAGCATGCAGCCCTAGCACTCAGGAGGCTGAGGCAGGGGGATCACCCAATCAAGGCTGTCCTGGGCTACAGAACAAGTTCAAGGCAAGCCTGGGCTAGCAAGTTCCAGACCAGTCTTAGCTATATAGTAAGACCCTGTCTATGAAAACGGGGTGGGGGGGGGCAGCAGAAGAATGTGTTTTCATTTGGTGTTTTTTTACACTATTATATATTACATTATTATAGCATTTTCAAACATAACTTGTTTTGAACTGGAGATGTAGCTCAGTAGTTGAAATAGTGTTTGCCTAGTATATACGAAGCCCTGAGTTTGAGCCCCAGCACCGTATAAACCAGGCGTGGTTGTGTACACCTGTGATCCCAGCACTTGACAAGTAGAAGCAGGAGGACCAAAAGTTCAGGGTCAGTGCTGGAGAGATGGTTCAGCAGTTAAGTGCACAGGCTGCTCTTGCAGAGGGTTCAAATCCCAGCACCCATATGGCGGCTAACAACCATCATTATTCCAGTTCCAGAGGATCCAATGGCCTCTTCTGATCTCTGCAGGCATTGTATGACACAAGTGCACTTACATACAGATGCAGGTAATATACTCAAACACATAAAATTATTAAAAAAATTTATTTTTATTCTATGTGTATGAGTGCTTTGCCTGCATGTAGGTAGATACACCTGTGTCATGCAATGCCCGTGGAGGTCAGATGAGAGTGTCAGATCCCCTGGAACTGAAGTTACAGACAGTTGTTAGCCTTCATGTGGGTGCTGGGACTCGAACCTGGGTCCTCTGCAAGAGCAAACAGTGTCCTTAGCCCCTGAGCCATTGCTCCAGCTCCTAAAATAAAAAAAATTTAATTAAAAAAAGTTCAGGCTCATCCTTACTATACACGGTAAGGTTTAGGCCAGTCTGTACTACAAGAAACCCTGTCTGAAAAAAGAAAGAAAAGAGAAGAGAAAGGAAGAAAAAGCAAGCATAATTTTTCTGAGTTAACCCTCCTCCCCGTCTTCTCCCTTCCCCTCCCTCACCCTGCACCTTCCATCCCCACTCTGCCCCTTTCCTCTTTCACACTGTGAGTGTTCTGTTGCCTTTCCCCTTCCTCAAAACCTCTTTTTCTCTCTTCTTATGGTCCCTTTTTGAGCTACAGGGTTGTTCTAGTTTGGTTTCTGTTATTATGAGAAAACACTGACCAAAACTAACTTGGGAAGGAAGGGGATTATTACATCTTCAGGTTGATGGCCATCATTAAGAGAAGCCAGGACAGAAGCTCAAAACAGGAACTTGGAGGCAGGAATGGAAGCACAGACCATGGAGGGACACTGCTCATTGACTTGCTCTTCTGGTCTGTGCTCAGCCTGCTTTCTTATATACCACAGGACCACCTGCCCAGAGATGGCACCACCCACAGTGGGCTAGGCCCTCCCACATTACAACATACACACACACACACACACACACACACACACACACACACACACACAATTAAAAGCTAGTATCTATCTGCACATGAGAGAGGACATGAATCAGTTATCATTCTGAGATTCTGAGTCCAGTTTGCTTCAATTTACAGATCCATTCATTTTCCCACAAAGTTCATCATTTTTTATTTATGTATGTGTATATGTGTACATATGTGCAAATGCCCACAGAAGCCAGAAGACGTTATCTGATCCCCTGGAGCTATAGGTGGTTGTAAAGCACCTGATGTAAGTACTAGGAACCAAAGCTGGGTTCCCTGAGAGAGCAACAAGTACTCTTAACCACTGAGTCATCTCTCCACCTCTCATATTTCATAATTACAGTTTTCTTTACAGATAAATAAAATTCCATTGTGTATATGTACCACATTTTCATTTTCTATACATCTGTTGATGGCCATCTAGGTTGATTCCATTTCCTTACTATTGTGAAAACATCAGCAAAAAACCATGGATGAGCAAGTATCTCTGTACGGGAGTATAGAGCCCGTATGTCCAAGACTGGTATCCCTGGGTCATATGGTAGTTTTATTATCAGTTTTTTGAGACACCTTGGCACTGATTTCCATAGTGACTGTACCAGCTTACACTCCCACCAGAAATGAATATGGGTTCCTCTTTGCCTACATCCTTCCATTTGTTTTCTTGATAATAGCTGTTCTGATTGGAGTGAGACAGAATCTCAGAGTTGTTTTAATTTACATTTACATGATGGCCAAAGGTTTGAACTCTTTTTAAAATATTTATTGACCATTTGTGAAGAAGAGGGAACTTTATTCACAAATCAACTTTCCAACCTCAGGGAATTGTGGGATTATACATACAGGATGAGACAGGGAGAGCTAATTAAGGAGGGAATATTCATGCCCGTTCTGAGAACAGGCCGAGATCTCCCAAGAACTCAGATGCCACGTTTTTTACTCCTTTCATGGTCTGGTGTTTCTGCTCCTGGTGGTTGGTAGGTGTCTTTAGCCTTGAAGAGAGACATGGTAAAGCCCAGAGAAAGTGAACCTGTATTATAGTTTCAGGTGAAATATTTCTCAGCTCTTCAGCATGTCTATATACAAAACTGAGTCAACTCTGACTCAAGCGCTAACACAGCAAAAGAGACAAAGTATGAAGGCGGAGACAAGTCTTTTTATCCCACGGGGCTTTTTCAGCAAGGGAGGCCTTTAGTCCCTGACAAGGAACATAGGCAACTGTTATCATAACCCACATAATGAGTATTACCTAGTAAACCAGTGTGAAACTAATAATGTGTTGCTGATCTGCATGACCTCTCAAATGAGTGGTCTTTTAGGCTTCCTGCAGTAACAACTCGAGCATTCTTGGATTTCAGTATCTGAGAGGGTCCTGGAATGAATCTCAAGGAAATCAAGGGACAGCTACATATAACATTCTTATATAACAAGACTGATAGAAATCAGACTAATGTTTTCCAGAGTTTGGTGAGGAAAGGGAGGGAAATGTGTGTGATTATAAAGGAGCTGGGGCCTACAACAGCTCAGCGGTAAAGGTACTTGCCCTGCAAACCTGATGACCTAAGCTCCATCCCCAGAACTCATGTGGAAAGAGAGAATCAGCTCCTGAAAGTTGTCCTCCTGTGATGTGCACACACACACACAAACAACAACGACAATAATAATAATAATAGTAGTAGTAGTAGTAGTAGTAGTAGTAGTAGTAGTAAAAAGTAAAAGGCAGGTGTGGTGGTACACACCTTTAATCGCAGCACTCAGGAGGCAGACTCAGGCAGATCTCTGTGAAATCGAGGCCAGCCTAGTCTACATAGCTAGTTCCAGGCCAGCTGGGTTTACAGGGAGGCCCTGTCTCAAAAAGACCAAATGAATAAAAAGAATTTTTAATTAAAAGTAAAGTAAAATTTTTTTTAATTAAAAATAGGGGCTGGAGCAATGGCTCAGGGGTTAAGAGCTCATACTGCTCTTGCAGACCTGAGTTCAGTTCCCAGCACCCACATCACACAGCTCACAACTGCCTGTATTTCTAGCTCCAGGGGATTCCATGACCTCTTCTGGTCTCCCAGGAATTGTACGCACATGCACAAACACACAGGCCACACACATATAATTTGAATAAATAAAAATAAATCTGTTTACAATAAATAAATAATAAAGAAGCTACCCAGGGAAGATCTTTGTAATAATAGTATAGTTCCATATCTTGACTGTAATCATGATCACAGGAATTCTACACACATAGTAAAATGTCACAGAACTAGGGGCTGGGCGTGAAGCTCAGTTGGTAGAGTGTTTGCCCAGCATGAATAAAGCCCTGGTTCAATCTCTAGCACCCCATAAGCTGTGTGTAGTGGCACATGCCTATAATCCCAGCACTTCAAAGATACAGGCAGGAGGATCAGATGTTCAAGGTCATCCTTGACTACACAGTGAATTCTAGGCAAGCACTCTCACTGAGCTGTGTCCCTAGTCCTTACAGTTCATTTATACCCTTTGAATTTTTTACCAGATATTGAGCTTTCTAAGTCACTGAAAAGATATAGTACAGACTGAGCAGCACTCACCCAAAATATCTAATAATAGAAGTATTTTGGATGTTGGATTTTACCAGATTTCAGAATATTTCCTTGTCTTGAGGATGGGATCTACATGTAAACATGAAATTTGTTTACATTTCATATATACCTTATGCTCATAGTCTAAAGTTAAATGTTATGCAATATTTCAGTGCACCTGTATTTTTTATATTTTATTTATTTTTATTTTGTGTATATGAGTGTTTTGCCTGAATGTATGTAAGTGCACCATGTGTATGCAATGCCTGCAGAGGCCAGAAGATCATGTCAAATGCTCTGGAACTGGAGTTACAGCTGGTTAACTGCCATGTGGGTACTGGAATCGAACCCCAGTCCTCTGGAAGAACAGCCAGTTCTCTTAAACATTGAACCATCTCTCCAGTCCCTACATCCCCTCACACGAAGGCAGGTGTAAAATTTTCCACTGTGGCATCATGTTGGCACTCAAAGAGTTTGGGATTTGGATCATCTTGGATTACTGAGGTTTGGACTAAGTTTGTCCCAACCTGGAGTGCCCACAGCAAAGACCACCACGTATGATGGAGGACAAGGGCTCTTTTCAGGGGTTGTGTAAAGTGCTTACCATAAGCATCTCTGGCTTAACTCTCCACTTCAAAGCACCAAATTTCAGCAGAGGTAAATCTAGCACTGTCACCCTCTACAGGGAGGCTCCTCAGGAAAGGGGACCACACTGAACCACAGATCTGACCAGGACATGGTTTTGTTCCTGAGCTGCTTCTCCAGGTTCAAAGATCAGGTGCAGTGCCGAAAATCCATCATCAACTTCATTGAGGAGAAACTGGATCACTGTAGTAGAAGCTTGGCCTACAGCATCACTGTGGTTGAACACAGAAAGAACAGGAAGCCTTGCTCCCTGACCTTAGCGGTCCAGTGCAGGAAGAGCGATGACATCATTTGGATGGATGTGCTCCCGGCTTATGATGCTCTGGGTAAACTCAGTGGTGGGTCAGGTCTAGAGAAATGATTCTGGGGCTTCCCCCTCCTAGGGGAGGTTGGAGAAAATGGAATCAATGGAGTTTGCTCTTTGGTGGGGATGTGGAAGCAGAGGTACTCCTTGAAGATCTAAGTCCTTCAGTAAGGACTTAGATATGGGATATGGTTCCCACATCCCAGTGTTGGATAGGGAAAAGTTTCCTCCTGAAAAATGAATTCCTATCCAACCCAAGAAGGAAATTCCTCTCCAACCTTCTAGAAAACACCAGGTCAAGCAAACATTTCAAGGTCTTTGGAGTCATACAGAACTAAGTGGGAGTCATCTTTAAAACAGGATGTCATAGCTTCAAATTTTACAATGCCAACAGCATGGCACCTCTGAATTGAGCATACCAACCTTTTTTGTCTTTTTTGAGACAAGGTCTCCCTGTAGCCCCAGCTGGCCTGGAACTCACTATGTAGACCATGCTGGCCTTGAACTCACAGAGATCTGCCTGCCTCTGCCTCCTGAGTGCTGGGATTAAAGGCATTCACCACCACACCCGGCACATACTAACCTATTAAATGGGACGATGTTAAGTAGAATCATAGGAAACTAACAATATTTGCCCATGTTTGACTTATAAAAATGGCAATTTCCTATAGTTGCACTTAAACGTATATCCTTCATGGATCTGTTCTGAGGATTCCATGAGTTTAGCTTGGTGCCTGACCATCTATGTGACTTCTGAGTGTGCCAACAAACCATCTAAGCCTCTACATACTTAGCTTAAGGGGAGAAAAATAAGGCAGGCATGGGGCCTGATTATTGCGATCTCATCACTCAGTAAGCTGAGGCAGGAGGATCACAAGTTTAATGGAAAGCTGGGATACATAAGCCCTGTCAAGAAAGAAAAGAAAAAAGAAAGGAAGGAAGAGGGGAAAGAAGAAGAGGAAGCGAAGGAAGGGAGGGGAGGAAAGGGAGAGAAAGAGACAGAGGGAGAGTAAGGAGGGAAGAGGAGGGAAGGAGGGATAGCTTCCCCCCTTCCTCACCTCAAGAGGTAGACTTTCCTGACCAGATCATTTTCTCCTCCAAGGATCCTTTTGCCCAGACTCTAAACCATCACCAGAAATCTATGAAGATTAAATAAGGAGCAAGACCCTCACTGCAGAGTTTTCACCAAGCTTCACAGAGTTACAGAGACGTTTTGTGAAAAGCCGCCCAGTTAAACTGAAGAACCTCCTGCGGCTGGTAAAGTACTGGTACCTGCAGGTGAGGGCTGTGGGCTGGACTCAGAGATGGAGGGACAAGAAAGAAGGGAGGTGGGGGCAGCCCAGCATTTCTTAAAAAGGGAAAAGCTGGAACTGGGATGTAGCTCACTGGCAGAGTGTTGGCCTGGCATGTAGAAGGCCCTGGGTTCAATCCTCAGTATGGGGGGGGAGGGGGAGGGGGAGAGAGAAACAATCTGTATAAAGATAAGAGATGGGTTAAACAGTGAATGAAATGGTACAGAGTAACTGAACTGAAAGTTATTTGTGGTCTCCAGAGCCCTGGACAATAATAGAACTAGGCATTACTGTTGGTGATGGTATTTGTGTCCTGCTTGGAGCCTCCTGCTTCCAGTGGCAGGTTCCTCCAAGAGAGGTTAAGTGGTTGCTGATGAGAAGAAAACATGCTTTTCAGGAGACTTCAGACTACTGATCAAAATGTGGCATTTTGATAACAACATCAATAATAAAGGCACCATTAATGGAGTATTAATTATGTTCTATGACCAAGACTATATATGGGGCGTAATTTTCCCATTTAGACTTTCTAACACGTTCTAATGGATGTATTATGCATTGTTCTAGTTTTGGAGATGAGAAAAACCGAGATCCAAAAGTTAAAAGTAAAGAGCCAAGTGTGGTGGTACTCACCTTTAATCCCAGCACTTAGGAGGCAGAAGCGGGGAGATCTGCACGAGCTCAAGGCCAGCCTGATCTACAGAAAGAGTTCCAGACTTGCCAGGGCTGCATAGTAAGACCCTATCTCAAAACAAAAACAAAACAAAAAATTACATGTAGAGCTGAGATTTGAAAAAGAGTGCTTGGCTCTAGAACTCTTAAGCAATAAGATGAAATATTCCCTCTCTCTCTCCATCCCTCCCTCCCCCTCCTATCATCCTCTTCTTTCTTTCTCCCCCATCTCATTCTGAACACCCCCTGAACCTACTTTGGTTTTTGGTATGCTAGAAATCCACCTGGAGCTCTCCACACCCCTTGGGGTCATGATCTCTTGAAGCTTCATCCTATGTAGTTGAGGAAGACCTTTGTACAATGGATACTTTGGGAAACTATAGGGAGACTTTCTTGTATTCTTTTTCTATCTTTACCACCAACCTTCAATCCAAAGGCCCCTTGCTATTTGCTATCAGCTGCATCTAATACCCATCCCAACCCAGAAGACAGTGAAAGTAATTTGGACTAAATGCCATCTGGATAATAAATATTTTACCTGAATTCAGAACTTTCGATCCTGAGTGGGACCATGTATCAGCAGGGCACCAGTATCCTGCTTCCAGTCCAACCTGGTCTCCCACTCACATTTGCTGGGGCAGCCAAGTGATCAGTCTTCGCACATACCCACTTACCCAACGTCACCCGCATGTCCTCAGGGCTTCCTGCAGGATCATGGTGGTCTCCATCAACAAGAACTTCCCCATAAGATGCCCAGCTTCCCTGCTGGAGTGATGCTGATGGAGCTACTGTCCCCACAGAAATATTCCAAAGTGGGGGTGGAATGGAGTATGTAATGGGCATTTGACATCGTGGTTTGTTGGTCCATCACCATTGGAGAGAGAAGGAAAGAGAGGTCAGTGCTCAGAAGGACTGGTCAGCTGGAATCCTCCAAGGCAGCCCTGGCCTGCTGAGCCACAGAGACAGCAAGGGACATATATGGGGCACACTGCAAGCGAAGTGTCTGTGTTGGGGGCCTGGCACTTCCTGGCCCCCCACCCCTCAGTATTTTTGCGACAGAGCCTCCATGTAGCCCCACCTGGCCTAAAATTCAACTTGCTGTGTGGACAAGACTGGCCTCAATCTCATAGAGATCCACCTGCCTCTGCCTCCTGAGTGCTAGGATGAAAGGTGTGTGCCACCACGCTCTGGCTGATAACATGAATATTCTTGAAATATTCTTCTTAATACTTTTATTTCTGGTTGTCTGACTATTACAGCGGTATAAAAATTGAAACAATGCCAACAGCTTTATACAAAAGAAGGTTAAAATCACATGCAATCCCCAAGATAAACTAATAACATTGCGACTTTACATTTTGTGGTTTCTTTTGTGTATGGCATGACATTGGGATTGCCTTTTTCTTCCAGATGACTAACAAGTCATACATCATATATTGAATTACACATCCTTTTCCCTCTGAACTAAAATATTTCCTTTGTTAACTATGAAATTCCCATATCTAGGGGCTGGAGAGGTACCGCAGCAGTTAAAAACACTAGCTGCTCTTGCAGAGAATCCAAGTTCCATTCCCAGTACCCACATGGCGGCTAACAACCATCTGTAACTCCAGTTCCAGAGGATCCGATGTCCTCTTCTGACCTCCACAGGCATTGCATGCATGGATGCACATATGTGCATGCAGGCAAAACACTCATACACATACAATAAAAATAAATAAAAAATTTTAAATTCTCATATCTACTTCAATTCCTAGTAAATAGGAACTAAAGTCATTTAGGTGGCCTGTGTTACCTAAAGCCGCAGAGGGACCTAAGAGCTCTAGGAGCATCAGTCATCTCATATTCTCTGTCTCTGTGTTCCTCCTCTTTCCCTCTTTCTCCAGTACATGAGATGTAAATATCCAAGAGTAATATTGCCCCAAAAATTGCACTGGAGTTACTAACCATCTATGCCTGGGAAATGGGTACAAAGAAAAGTGATAACTTCAACATGAGCGAGGGGTTCGTGGCTGTGATGGAGCTCTTCAGAGATTACAAAGACATCTGCATATACTGGACCAAGTACTATGATTTCCAAAGTAAGGTTGTCAGAGGCTTTCTCAAACAACAGCTGAAGGGGAACAGGTGAGTACACTGATCAAATTACTTCTGGCTTTAAGAGCTAAAAACCCTAACTGGAACAGTTTTTAAAAATAAAGGTAATTGATTGGCTTCTGCAACTGAAAACAATCAAGAGGTAAAAGAAACTTCAAGTCTGGCATGATCCAGATGCTGGCTATGTTACCAGTGTCCCTTTCTGTGAGTTGCCCAGCTCTTCTCATCACAGAGCTTTCTAATTAAATTCAGATTTATTTATTGCCCAGAGCAATAATTTATTTATTCACCATTACATTATTTCTAGACTTCCCATGTGGACCCACACCTTCCAGTATTAGAAGGATATTTCAAGCAAAATCTGAGTGTCACTCTGGCTGGGCTTGCTTACGTTGTATCTCTAACCCTGAAGCAAGGGCTTCAGCTTGCGCGGGGTCCTTCCTACACAAGGGCATGCATGATCCCTGTTCTACATGGTCTGGAGAACATCTATGTTAGCTGTAATTAAGGTTACCAATGAGCAAGTTACTTATTATGTATACAGCAAACAGAAGTAACAGAAAAAAGTAGCAAGTAGCAGAGAAAGAGAAGCAGCGGATAGAGAGCAAAACATCATCAAATCAGGCGCTCACAGCACCCAGCAGATGACTGCAGGAACAAGATTGACATCAAGCAAAGCTGACATGGTCAAATGGGCAGGAGAGGTCTTAAAACCATCCAGCAGAAATTGACTGGGGAAGTTGAGGCAGTCAGCTGGAGTTCCTGATTAAGCTTTTTCTCTATGGAGGAGCCTCCCAGGACTGAACTTCTAGCTCCCTATTCCCACTGCAGGCGTTCTTATATCTTGGAATAAACAATAGTGACCTCTTTTGGAAATGATTAACCTTGTAACGATTCCTAAGGACACAGTGTTTTTACTTTGGGGCTATTTTGATGTTTTTCAATCTCTCCATTACAGAGCTGGGGAGAGGGGGAGCCTGACCCAAGTCAAGGGGTCTTGGAGACCACTTTGAGATATATCCTTGAGTCTAAAATGGAGGGACTCCACTTCTAGAGCTTTCTTCTTAGTGAATTTAAACAGCACATGACAATTCACCAATATAATGTGCACTGTAAGTACACAAACGTGTGTCACAGGCCAGTATCCCAAAAGTAACAGATCTGCTACCCTTTTCTCCCTCACAGACCCATTATCTTAGACCCAGCTGATCCTACCAACAACATAGGAAAAAGAAAAGGATGGGATCTGATAGCCAAAGAGGCTGCTTATTGCCTGCGGCAGGACTGTTGTATAATTGAAGATGCCAGCCAGGGCTGGAATGTACCCATATGACTCTCCATCTTGTAGTCAGAACTCCCATTAACCCCACACAGATCTCCTGCAACTCTTGCCACAGCACCCATCAGTCGCAGGATAGGTAATGTATTTAGGTATCACAGTCTAGTGGATGTACAGTTCTTCTCTTCAGCTACTAATGTCTGGCCTCAGCTTTCACCTGGAAGATGTACAGGCGATCTGCCCTGCTCTACCGGCAATTCGAGACAGAGTAAAGAAATTTGCTCATGTCGATCTACCTATCCCGTTGATGTCTTCTAGAATAAAGCTTCTCCTTTGGTAGCTTATCAAAAGTGTAGTTTCTTGCTGATGTATATGTACATATATATGTATATGTATATATGCTTTTTTAAAGTGAGACTATCACCACTCCACTCTAGACAACAGCTTCCTGTGACCACTTTCCTGTGGATCACAGTCATCCTTGATGTGAGAACTAAGTAGGAATGCAAGGTCCAGACACAAGGATTAGATTTAGGGGTCCTCAAGAGAGCTGATTTCCCCAACCTACCACCCCCACAGCAATTCTTTTATTCATCCCACTTCTCATACTCTGCATGGAAATTCGGAGTCTAGCCTCAGAGGCCAATCCCACAAGGGGAGCAAAGCAGACAGATGGAACATCACAGAGACCTACCATCCTGCCATCATGTCCTGTTAGCTGAAATGCCCTGAAAACCAGGGGGCTTCTGGGAGGCAAGCAAAAACAAAAACAAAAATAAAAAGCAAAGCAAGCTGCTGGAAAGAGTTTAAAATTAAACTAAGTCTCCCTCCATCTCAACCCAAGTCCTCAGAAATGCCTCGCCAACAACCACTTATTAACTATCTGCCTCTCCTTCGGCAAATATGCCCTAGACTCCGAAGCACGTGCCTGCGTCTCAATGCATGTTTTTCCTTAAGTTATTATTCAGTGAGTTGTTCCATTACTAAATTATCTAACAGACAATTCCATAGTCACACATACAGACCTAATAAACATAACCATATAACATGAAGTCCAAATCAAGACACTTTAGAGCATGATACACGTAATGCTAATTCCACAAGTCAGGTGACCTGTGCTAAGGCTGTGCTAAACCATCCCAGATCCAAGCATCTGTGTCAGGATTTAATGAATACAAGTATTTTAATTTATAGAACTAGTATCCTGTGGCAGAGTTTTCAGGATATGTTCAGACTTTTGCTTTTAATACTGATTATTACCCTTCAACATACATCCTAGAGCCCAACAAACATTGGATCATTTCACCTCAATTCCCAGGCTTACAGAAATAGAGTACATTATCCTTTGATGTGACAGGTGAAGAGAAAACTCTGACACTTGTTACTCTAATTCGAGTCAGTCAGAGAAGAGTGTGACTCCGCAGTTCTGTAAGCCCACGATGACTAATAGCTTCCTCTGCTTGGGACAGTCTCATATCTGTTGTGCCACATAATTACTAGTAACATTTCCCTTTACTTTTGAATTTGTCTCTGTAGATGAGAAATTATATCAGGACATAAAAGGGAGAGGTTTTGGAGACAATAGACAGATATTAATGCAGGTGCCCTTGTTTATTCCTCTCTTCCAGAGAGCAAGGGACATCCAGGTAACAGTGAAACAGACAGGGAAGGAAACTTGGAGGCTCTGGGCAAACCCCCACAGGCCCATCAGGAAGATGAAAGTAGAGATCAACAAGACAAACAAATCTCTATGGGGAGACACGCATCTCCTTCCAAGAGCCAAAAGGGAAGCGGCAACTGCTCAGCAGCCAGAAGACCCTAGCAGATTATGGAATCTTCTCAGAGGTAAGCATCCCAGTGCTAAAGACCTTTCCTCCTGAGATCCAGGTCTTTGTGAAGGAGTCCAGGGGCCAGAGTAAGCCTTATGCCATCGACCCTGATGATACCATCGATGTCCTGAAAGAGAAAATTGAAGAAGCTGGGGGGCCTTGTATAGAGGATCAGATACTGATGTTTGAAAATGAGGAACTGGAAGATGAATACAGCCTTGCAGACCTAAAGATCAAAGATTGTGACACCCTCTTACTCATTAGGATAGGCTGAAAGCCCCCAAGAGTGTTCCTGGTCAGGTTGCTCACGATATCAATGCCTGTAGTCTTGTCCTTACCTGGATATTGTGCTGTTTCTGTAACCTAACTATCAACATATCCTTCTCTTGCTTAAAAGCCCCCAGTGTTTCCCCATTACTTATAGAATGAAGTTCTGGTTTCTTTGCTTTGTATTAGAGTCTTTAGTAATCAAGTTGAGGGACTGGAGACATGGCTCAGCAGTTAAAGAGCACTGGCAGCTCTTGCAGAGGACCCTGAGTTCAATTTCCAGCACCCATACGGTGGCTAACAATGTCCTAACTCCAGCTCTAGGAGATCCAACACCCTCTTCTGATCTCTGTGGGTATTGCACAACACGGGTGCACTTACATACATGCAAGCAATACACTCATACACATAAAATAAAAATAATAAACAAAATATTTTTAAACTAATAATAATTGGGGGCTGGAGAGATGGCTCAGCAGTTAAGAACACTGGTTGTTCTTGCAGAAGACCGGGGTTCAGATCCCAGCACCCACATGGCAGCTAACAACTGTCTGTAACTCCAGTTCCAGGGGATTTGACAGCCTCTTCTGCCCTCCATGAGCATTGCACGACTTATTCACATGCAGGCAATACACACATACACATAAAATAAAAATAATAAATAAATTAATTAAAATAATAACAATCAAGTTGAGCCCCTATCTGTCCCTCTGCCTCCCCTCCCCCATGCAAAACACATCAGATACTCCCAGACCCTTGCAATTCACACTGAATGCTAAGTTATAATTCCTTCACTTTGAGTCAGCTACCTTTTTCCCCACCCCCATGTTTTCATCTTTTAAGACTCAGATTTCTGGAGCTAGGGAGATGTTTCAGTGTTTAAGAGTGTTTATTGCTCTTGCAGAAGACCAGAGCTCAGTTCTTAGCACCCACATAGGGCAGCTCACAACCATCAGTAACTCCAGCTCCAGGGAATCCAACACCCTCCTCTGGCCTCCATGGGCACGTGCATGCACACATTACACATACAGACAAGCAGGCGCACACACACACACACACACACACACACACACACATTTTTTAAAAAATATTTTTAAGACTCAGATTTGACTGGGCGTGGTGGCACATGCCTTTAATCCAAACACTTGTAAGTCAGAAGCAGGAAAATTTCTGTAAGTCCCAGCCAGGGCTACACAGTGAGATCAAAGACTCAGACTTCTAAGTCACTGAATCTCAAATGGACCTCAGACCAACGGAATCGTCATCACTTGGGAACTTCTTAGGAGAATCACAACATCTCCCTAAACTTAACCTGAGTCAGATTTTTCCAGTGGGGAGACTCAGCAGACCATGTCTTCGCAGCCTTCCACATTATGCTGATGCATGCTCAAGTTTAAGAACAGCCGCCATATGGCCCCTGTAGCTGGCCAAGTCATCTTTTATGCCTGCCCTCTCCCTTTACCCACCTCAGACTTCAGTGAAAGTTCATGGAACCCTTTTCATGTTGTTTAGTTAGGTGATCTAGCTCCCTAGTCTAATGAGTCTTTAAAACGCATGTCTTATTCCTTGGACCCTGTGATCTAGAATGGTACTAACCAAGTGCAAATGTCTGACATGTACTTACTAAATAAATGAATGAACCAAAGAATGGATTTGAATCCTTTACTAAAGTCTTTATTGGGTCTCACTCCAATGCTATTTTAGAGTCCACATAGTTTTGGGTGCCCCTATCCCACATGTCTTTGAAAACACCCCCAGTCACCTATACAAGCCTCATGCTGGAGTGGTAGACCTGATCGCTATACCCGATAATGCCTACTCCCTCTGTGTAAACCTACTTGATCAAAAAGTGATCAGGATAGACTCCATTTATTGGCTATCCTTAATCAATCAGATTTTGAATCCTGGAGAGGAAGGCCTGGTATGGTAAGCTGCTGGTACAGTTAAATGAGTGTCAATACTGTGCAGTCAGGACCAAAGAAGGCTTAAAAACCAAGAACAGCCCCACACAAGCCCACACTCGAGTACAGAAGCAATCCTCTTGTAGTTTGGTTTTTGTTGCTGTGATAAACATCATGACCAAAAGAAATTAGGGTAGTAAGAGCTTTGTTTGACTTACAGATTATAGTCCATCATCAAAGGAAGCCAAGGCAGGAGCCCATGGTGAGAATCTGGAGGCAGGAACTGAAGCAGAGACCATGGAGGAGCACTTCCTACCCGCTTGCTTCCCCTGGCTTGCTCAGCTACCGTTCTTATTAAGCCCAGGCCCACCTGCCTAGGAATGGTTCTGCCCACAATGGTCTGGGTTCTCATACATCAATTAGCAATTGAAAGAATGTGTCATAGATATGGCCATCAGCCAATGGAATGGAGGAAATTCTTCAATTGGGGTTCCTTCTTCCCAAGTAATTTTAGTTGGTGTCAAATTGACACTGAATCATTAACCCAGAGAATGTAGCCACATATAGCAAAAGACAGAATCAAAAGCCTTCATACATCCCCAGGGAGAGAAGCTGCAGGAGGTTGTCAGTCCTCCCTTTTTTCCTATCAAATTCCCCCTGTGTCCTTTTTATCATCCTCAGGTAAGTGAACAACCACTCAATGAATAAATCAAAGTGGGTTTCTTTTCTGTTCCAAGACCTTGGACTAAGATCTGCTTCAGCAGCTCAGTTCCATTCTTTTTTCTGCCACTCAATACACTCAGAATTCCATGCACTCAAGTGGCGTTTATGCCGAGCCTCCAGAGATATGATGTCATTTGATTATCTTCACAGCTGCCCTGGAAGTTGAATGGACAAGAAGTAATGACCCTTCCATATTTTATAGATGAGAATAACAAAGCTTAGAAAACAGGAAATTATGTTCAGAGGGAAACTTCTATGGAAGAAGAACCAAGACTCTTGGCTGCCTGAGCTCTTATACATCACCAGAGTCTCCTACCTTCTCTGCCCTCCCCCCCTGTTGGCACATGCCAGAGCCCTGGTGAATCCCTTCAGTAATCTTGTTGATCCCAAATGAGTTCACTCTCTGACCATAGCTGATTGGACCAGGGAAGATCACCTGTCCCCAGATAAAATCAGTCCATTGTCTAGGTTAAGCCAGTCAGATTATGAGCTCTACACACCAGGAACTATTATATCTTAAGCCTTTCCCATGTACTAGGAACAGCACAGAGCACATGTTCTTTATTTTACCATCACAACAGGCTTAGACTGATAACCATTGCCCATAATTTGATAGCTAGAAAACAGAATCTTACCAGCTTAAGAGATTTGATCCAGGTTACATAATCACTAAGTAATAGACCAGAGAAACAAACTCCTGTATGTCTGTTCAGAGACTGTGGTTATAACCACCATGCCATGCTAACTGTCTTTAGTGGGCCTCAGCTCTCCCTCCCCAAGCCCTAAGCTCCTCCCCCAGCTATCACCTCTACATGCACAGTATACCCTACAGTATCTCCCCTCTCCATCTTTGCATGGGTTACTTCTGCCCTGGATCTACCACTTCCTAACAGTAGGCCTGATACTGGAGTTTGGTCTGTGCTGTCACTTTCAGAAGCCAATGAACAGAAACGGGAACTGAATCTTCACACTGTGCTTTGTTCAGCAAGTGAGCAATCTAAGAAGACAGCAAATTAAAAACCTGCCTTTAGGGGCTGAAGAGATGGCTCAGTGGTTAAGAACACTGGTTATTCTTGCAGAAGACCCGGGTTCGAATCCCAGCACCCACATGGCAGCTAACAACTTTCCATAACTCCAGTTCCAGGAGATCTGACGGCCTCTTCTGTCCTCCGTGGGCATTGAACGACACTCATTCAAGGGTGCACTTACCTACATGCAGGCATACACATAAAATAAAAAAGTAATGAATAAAATATTTTTTTAAAACCTGCCTTTCATCTCATCTTTAGCCAGAAGATGATATAAGGAGGGAAACAAAGGCGGTCAGTCATTCTAAAGTTCAGTCTTGCCCTCTGGTCAGGTGGTCACCCTTGTCTCTGAGATTCATGTTACCAGTACGTCTCTCCTCTCGTCCTCCCTCTGTGCTGTTGCCACACCAAGGACACTGAGTCTTGCATTCCTGTGTGACCATTTGAATTACATCTAGATCAAAGGTTAACTCAGAACAAACAGACCATTAACAGTGTGTACATACTGGATTACTTACAATGTATATGTGCAGATTCCTTTCAACAAAATGTACAAATGTGTTCTTATAAAATATAAAGGTGCCCCCATCTGTCCCTCCTGTCTCCTCTCAGGTCCCTGGGTAAATTAGTTTCATGGACCAGAACTCCCTTTGGAAGTTAGATAAACAAGTAGAAATAACAATCCCACCCTCACAGATGAGAGTGCCAATTCTTAAGAGAACAAGAAATGATGTTCGGGAAATGATTTTGCACAGAATTGCTTATCTAACAAGGTCATTGTGAGGATCAGATGATGAGTGTGAGAATGCTTAATAAATAAGCTACAAAACCCATGTCAACATTAACTAATGAGAAAAACAAAAGACTAGATGCCTGGGCTGTGAGAGGGAAGCTGGAAGCTGCTCACTGAACTGGTAGACAACTTTGTTCTATATTCTACATGAGAGATATGCTTTACAAAAAGATCAAAGACACAAAGCAAAAAATGATAAGGGCTTTAAAAGAAGAGCCCAGAAAGTAGGCCAGGAGATGGGTGGATCCTGAGAAGCCAGGAAATGTCCAAGAACTGATACAATGGGTTTGAGGGCAAGGGGGGGGAGTAGACAGGAAGGCTGCTGGGTCCTCAGCCTGTAGCTCTATTTCAAAGGCTTGGGGCCCAGCTAGTGGAAGAAGGAGTGGGCCTTTGAAGGTTACTCCCACCCTGGGTTCCAGGCTGCTTTCTTTGCTCCATGCCTGCAGCTGCTGCCACATGTTCCCACCACCGTAGTCTGCACTGCTCCTACTGACATACCTTCCTACCACAATGAACCGAAATCTCTCTGGAGTCATGAGCCAAAATAAACGTTTCTTCTCTA